ATAAAGTTACTATTTTACACTTTCAACCTTCTTCTTGTCTTCATCATAGGATTGATTGTGATAACCTACTACACAAGCGAATCGTGATAATAAATTGTTTTATTTGTTAATCGTTAATTTCTCTCAGGAAAGGCCTTTGAGATAATTTTGTTAGCTTGGTTTGGGACGATTCCAGGTCTAACACCGTAAAATTGTGACTAATGATATCAATTGCTGCTAAAATTGAAAATGGACTATACTAAAAGGCAGTTATATGTAATTCATGTAATCAGCATGAATATTTTCTTTATTTACAAAATCCACAAATTTCATTCGTTGATCAGGCTATAGTACTGAACGACATTTCATTTGAAATGCTTAGATGTATAAGGTCCTCCGCTATTCTTTGGACAATAAATATAATATAATATAATTTGATTGATATTTAAAAATTTGATTTAAAAAAAATTCAAAATCAAATTAAATCAATTTCAAATAAAGTTTTCAAATATTTTGATTTTATTTGAATAAATTAGTAAAAGTCACCTCGAAGTTGTTTACTAATATTTTCTTAGTAAAAGCTGCTTCCGAACTTCGGAGACAAATTTTCATAGTGAAGCCACCTCTTAACTCCAGAAGCGTAATTTGCTTAAGAAAAAGCCGGCGGGCTTGTCTATCGAATCAATCACTAATAATACGTACGTAATCTATGGAGTTTTAAAAATTTTTTTTAAATTAATTAAAAAAAAAAAAAAAACAAAAAAATTAAAATTACCTTATTTTCCGGAGATCCGCCAGAAATGGCGGCTCTCTACATTGATTTTTCCACTCGTCAAACTTTCACGGTTTTTCCATTAATAAGAAATAGTTCAAGTTCGACAACTGTCGATTCGCAAGGAAACTTTATCCATCAAATAACATTCTTACAAATGATAAAAAAATTTTGCGCCCTCTTTAGATCGCAAGGATTATATTTTCAAATTTTTCTTTGGGCAGCATTGATAGGATAATCTTCTTTTTCCTTTACCTTTTTTATTATGTTTATTTTTGATTATTTTTTACTTTTTTTTAGATTCTTTTTCGGATGGTCGATCTGATTGTTGCTGTAATGCTGTAATGCTTTTATTATTCTTTGTTGTTAATTAAATTGTTTATTTATTAATTTATCTTTCACTTTTAGACAATGTTTTAGACGACTTAGGCGAATTCTTTCGGTTATATCACTTAAGTTTGCATTAATTTTTTTATAAAATTAATTTTATTTTTTTTATTTTTTATTTTTATTAGGGATTAGAACTAGTGCTCCGAAAGGGTCGGGTCAGACCCGGGTGATCGACCCGACCCGGATTTTAAATCGAGTCAGGGTTGGTA